CCCTTGGCATAAAAATAGTTGTAAAAAGTAACTTAAGTTGTAAAGTATAAAACAAAAAAAAAGAGCTGGGAATAATTGGTGTACTTATGAGAAAAATAAACCGCCATGGAAGAAAGTGCATAGAGAATTTGTAGATCACCATCTTTATTAAATTTTCCATGTGGATCTTTAAGAGGAGCAGCACTCTGATGATTGTCGACTTTTTATCATGCAGAAGGTTTTCTCTGACATCTTCCCTGCAGTCATAAACGAGTCCCCAGTATATTTTATTCACACACACACACCCCTCCTCCTGAGCTCCTCAGGCTCTCCCTGCGCCTTCATGTAACTGTGTTTGTGACTTTTGTCTCCATCCCTCTCTGCACTGCTGTCTCATGCTGAGAAATAGATTGAGCAAACGGACAGATCACTCGGCCTGCACCGCCTCTTTACACCCCCCTAACAGAGGTGGCGTATCAGGGCGTAATTCCCCTTCTTTTCTGGTTGTTTTTTTTTGCAACTGGACTGAGAATTTTCATTGTTTGCATATGTGTAGGTGCGTGTGTGGCTTGTTTAATTAACACACACTTATTGCAGATGTTTTCCCAGATGTAGACATGGTAACACAGATAACCCCGGAGTCAACCACATGTCAATTAAAAGGCAGTTAATCACTCTGGTTACGCATGCACTCGGACAACATTTCAGCTGTAAAATAAATGTCCGAATTGGGGGTTGTGGTGGGGCCTTGAAAGAGGGTTTGATCTGTGTCACTTAAGAAAATGCTGGAAGATAAATGAAACAAATACAAAAAATTTAGAGGAACTTGACAAGTACCAATCAAAAGTTCGGCTGCTGTTTTACAAAAGCCAAACTTTTGATTAAGATTGTTAGTGTGAAGAAACAGATGCCACTGTTTTCTGATAGTCTAATTGTATTATGACAGGCAGGAACTAAATCTGAACTCTTAAAGAAAAAATAAGCTCTGCCAACACTAATTAGCGCCGCGTCTTTGCCTCACTTCTCTGTCTTCTGTCACTCCACCACTGTTCATCTAGTTTGATGGTTATCGGATGAGAAAGGTGAAAATTACAGCTTTTTCAGCAGATTCTGTCATCGTTCCCGTATCAGTTTTATTCTTTTCCTCGGCCTGAATGGTGAAGGAAAGACACAGCACAGGTGTGCAATTTCCCTTATGCATAAAATTATTGGAGAAATATATGCAATAACCACAGGACAAGATTGAGTTAATGGGGATTTTGGTGTCTGAGTGCATGCCTTATTGTGTGTGTGTGTGTGTGTGTGTCTGTGTGTGTGTGTTCCTTGTAATAGTCTATACTTGCCTGTGTGCACATATTAATGTTCGTGAGCCACCACCAGCGTTAATGAGGAAGGGCTTCTGCCAGTTTTCCTCCTCTCATTCTCCAGAGAATAACACACAATCACAGTTTAATGACCAGCCTGCATGGTGGGGAAATTAGAGGAATAGGAAAAATGGTGCGTGGATTCTGGTGAAATAGAAAATTGTGGTATGATGTTGCAATAAATGTGATAATCGATTGACAAAAGCACTGACGGGTTTATGAACAAACAGGCACAATGCGTTTTCAGACAACATGCAGTCGTGCATGCAAAACCCACTTTACTTTATATCCCAATGGATCACAGAAGACAATCTGCATACTGAATGCATGCCACAGAAAAGTAATCCTAGCAAATCCAGAAATGTCTATAACTCGAGCTAAAATAGTTAACATTTGGTATGGTAATGGAAAAGTTATCCTTAATGAACACTTTAAGCGCTAACAGATCACAGAATATCTTGCAATATCGCATCAGGTTGAGTTTAATGTCTTATACATGGCTTGATCAAAATAGCTTTGACTTTATTCCCAATCATCGTAAAATGTTCTTAGTTTAAAACTCTACGATGAAATGCAGCTAGTGATAGCCATTCCTTCAAGGATTGCTAGACCTCCAGTTCATTTAAGATTTGACTTTCAAAATGTTCCATTTCTTTTATAATATTCAAATATAAACTGTGGTGTATTTGTCATTGCTGTAGACTTGATTTTAATTTGTGGGGAGCCCCATGGGTAAAAGACCAAGAGATGAAATTGGCGTTGTTGTTTATCACTGAATTGTTTTGATAACGGAAATCGAACGAGTGCTGGCACACTGCTATTATGCCTCTTGGCTAGGTGTCTGTGTCTGTGTTTGGGCGCTCCTACTTAAAATCATGTGAATACGATCTTAAGTGGCCAAGTCACGTTGGATAAACGCTCGCCCGCCTCCAGCAAAGTGCGCTGTCTTGAAGGTAAGACACAAGTCGTGAGACGCAGCGGCTGCCAGGTGTGTTGAGGAGGTAATTGTCATGGTGGCGGGCCTGAGGCCAGCAGCTTAGAGAGGCAGAGCTGCAGAGAAAATGAGCAGCACTTTCTGCTGGAGTCTGCCCGAGGGGTTAGCTCAATATCTGCTGTTGTTGCTTATCCGATTCCACTCTGTCCCCCACTTTGTACTTGTCTCATAGCTCACAGTATAAATGCGCTTCTCCTCTTCTGCCCATTCATTCTGTTCTGCATGTTCCAGTTTGTAGCCATACAGACCCTGTTCACTTTTATCTAATTTCAATAATAAATCACTGCATCTCACCTTTTCCCGTTTTTCCTTTATTCCTCTTCATTCGCTTCGAAAGTCATGCGATAATGTTATTGCCTTTGTCTGTTAGCCAAATATCTCTCTGCAGCATTAGACAAATTTTATAAAACTCTGAGCGTAATCACCTGATGTACACCTACAACTGATTAACTTTTCCAGTCAACCCCATTCAAGATGGCTTCTGCAGCCAATTACAAAAATGGCTATAACTCAGTTAAATTGTTGGAGCTGCAAGGTGATTCCCAACCCATGCGCCAAGGGCTTTATGTTGTGCAAGGTATTTATTTTCAATAGGTTTTGATAATAAAACGTTTTTTAAAATATACAGTATTGTTTATTATACTTTTACCATTTAATCAACGCCAATATTTTGTATTTGGGCTTACCAATTTGTTTTTCCAGGCATAGAAGAAAAGAAAAGCAGCTCACAGGTTTGCTTTAGTCCTCGTAATTAAAATAAAGAGGTGTATATTAGTTTCAAGTGTGTAACCCAGTGAATGAAAACAAGTACATTTGTGTTACGTCCCCCTCCCTGAGAACCCTGCCAGTTCATGAAATATAAAAGAGGGCTTGTGTGGGTCCTCACACACATGTCTGTGTACCCACAACTGTCTGTGCACAGACAGATCAGCCATTCTCTCAGATCTGTTACACGAGGACAGACCTCTCCACCCCTGCGGAGATGATTGTGTGTGAGTGAACTGAGAGGGAATAATGTGAAGTTAAAAGGTTGGTGAAGCTAAGCTCTGCAGGGCTGTTGGTATGCAATCAAAAACAAGGGTACAGAAGAGGTACATGTTCGTCACCCATGGTACAGTTTGAACTTTGCACACTCAAGGGTGGGAAATTAGACCTCAAGATAACCATGTGTACTTTTTTGAGGGCCCTGAAGGTACATTTATGTTCCCAAGTAGTAAAAGGTGCATGCTGCGTTAGCTTGGTGGTCAGTGCCGTAGTCTTGTAGTCATGAGCTTGCGGGTTTGAGCCCAGGTTGCATCAGGAAGGGCATCTTGCGTAAAACAATTGCCGTGCTGCTATTGTTTGGCGTATTGTTTTTGTACTATTGGAGCTTAGCGTATTCTTAAGGCTCCCACATACTCGAGCATACTTCACTCGGCAGAGGTCTGCGTATACCCGATTAGACTCAACGCAGACTCGAAGTGGACGTCCGCTAGCCACGTCCACGCAAAGATCAATTTTTACGATCGCGTACGCGTACGCGTACTCTGTGTCGCACAATAAACTGCCTGGCGCCAGACTGTTTTGTATGTGACACCGATGTATTAAATTCCCCTTCTTCATCCCTGGTTTGGTTTAATGGCCTTTTTTTATTTATTTTTTTTGCTAAGAGGCAAGCGATCTCTTCCTCCTCGTCCATTGACGCCATGACTGAAATTGTGAGAAATGAAGAAATTTGCCACGAACAAATTAAATCAGGTCCAGCGTGGCTGCGGGAGGGTCTGGAGAGTGGGCTGGTCTGATGTGTGGGCTGCAGGGCCAGCGCTCTGTTTTTTTAGAGCTTTATATTAACAACATATAAACACAGAACACTGCTGCCACTGCTCCTGTGTTGCCAGCTGCCTCTACCCAGGGCCGCCGCTAGCTCTCTTTTTTTTTTTTGCGACCTGTCATTCAATCCAGTAGACGTGTAAGCAAATGACCAATTGGCGACCTCAATTTCTACCGAAGGTAAACGCCCCTTGCCTGCGGAGCTGTGCAGTGCCTGCGCGGCTCACAGAGTACACACAGTACGCCCGAGTATGCGGTAGCCTTTCGTTTAGCATATTTCTTAGTTCATATCTTAAACCTTATTACCGTTTTTTTTTTATGGTTTATGGAATATAACTAGGACCCTGTGCACACAATTTCGTTCCACCACATGTACCACATATGATGCAAATGACAATGAAGAAACCTTGACCTTGAAATCTTTCATACAAGTTTGCTCGCTGTGGCAACTCCTGAAAAAGGGAGCAGCTGAAATAAATTTACTTACCTGATACATTTCCTGTTGAACCCATTGTTTACTCCATCAGGGTCATTTTTAGTACTAGTAAACATGGGTACACTGTTCCCACCAGAAGTACAAAACTGTTTTCAATAAATTAAAGACTACACAGGCAACAATAAATACCTAATGTTAAGGGTACACCACAGAGACGAGCCCTGAAGGAGCAATTCGATGCATTTAGGGCCTTGTTACACTTTTCAAATCTGCTTTGCAGTGTTTGTTCACTGTTTTATTTTTGTTAAAAACATTGGCCTTTTTTGTGTGGTAGACGTACACGCTTCACCGATGACATATCCTTGCTATATTTAAAAAAAAAATGTCCTTCTGTTTCTCTTTTTTTTCTGTTCATTAGAAAATAACATTTGCAGAGGAGCCAGAATCAGAAAAAAAGCACATGAGGAGCAAGAACAGGCCGTCACCAACATCCTGACGAGCAACCTTGCACATCACCACACGCCCAACAAGTCCAGAAGTGGGCGTCAAGCAAGCAGGAAGGAAACAAGTGACCCCTTCCTCCTGCAGGCATGGTAATACATTCAGTGTTGTTGTATAGGTGCTGGAGGTTTGTGCGTGGGTGTTCTACAGTGGATTATACCCTGTAGAGAAATGACTCTTGCAGTCAAGAGGGCCGAGAAGTTCAATCTGATAAGTTGTTATACACATGACAGCAGACAGTGTGCATCTTGGACTGAGAAACAGATGTTGTGATAAGAGCTTGTTCGGGGTTGAAAGAGGATGAAAACTAAAGGAAAAACAGCGGGAGAAGAAGAGAGGATAATAGAAGAGACAGGAAATGGGAGGAAAACAACTGTGAACAAGAGAGCGGTGATTAGCAGAAGGATGATTTTATTTTATTTGTTGTATCAGTGGGTTCCTACAGTATTTATTGTGACTTTGTAGATTTATCTGACATTACCATCAGACTGGGATGCGTGCAATTAATGCATTGTTTTGCAAATATTCTCTTGACTTTTGTTGTACGTTTCTTCATCTGCTTTTTTCTGCAGGTTGTGCAGTCTTTTGCTGAAATGTTAAATAAATGTAGAATTTAAGTTGCTTTATTATTTATGGTGTCAGTAAAAGCAGCAAAGGCATGAGCAGAGGAGGATGCTGGTAAAAAACGAACTACCGTGCGATGAAGAAAGAATAGTTCAGAGGATCAAAGGGAGCTGTGGAGGGAGAGAATGACAAGGGGTAGCAGATGAGCCCATAAAAACATAAATGATGGACAGAATCATGTGTAAAAAGGATGATGAAAGCAAAAAAGAGACGTGCAAAGTGGTGAAGTGGGAAGGTGAAGAGCTGAGAGAGGAAGAACATGTGCGAAACGAGAGATTGATTAATGGTCTTGGCCTGTGACAGTGGGATCTGCTTCCCCCAGGGGGCGGGAAAGCTGAGCAGAAGATGAATTATTAAAAACCGGAACAAGAGGAGGGAGGAGGAAAATGGGTCCAAGAAGTGAGATAGTGGAAAGGCATTTGTTGGGATGGATGGAGGAATGACGAGTAACGGAGAAAAAAATGCATGTGTGAAAGAAAACAAGAAGTCGCTGAAGGTGCTGAGGTTGGATGTTGCACAAAGGGGAAACATAGCTGAGCTCATAAATAACCAAGGGTAATGAGACCAGAGTATGCCCCGTGGTGCAAACAGTGCTGTGATTAATCCTGACTTAAGGGTTATGCAGAAAATGCTGACCTTGGCAAAGGTGTCAAATGTAAAACGGACAACAGTGTAAACAGCTTTTTCACCCCATTGATATTCCTTTAATTCATTTAATGAATTAATATTTCCATAATTTTTGTCTGTGTCTTTATTCGCCTGCACAAGTGCTCACTTTTCAAACCATTGAACTTGTAGCCGAGCTGCGTCCTTTATGTACTAAATTAATTTAGTGAATATATTGGTGTTTGCCAGTTTACCCCTTTTAACAATTTAATCCATCCGTCCCTTATCTTTACCCGCTTCTTCCATTTTTGGGTCACGGGGTTAACAATTTATTATCATAGAAAACTTTACGTTGTTTTTAAAGGTTTAATGATACACGAGCAAGCAAAATATATTTCCAAAGAAGTTTGATGTGTTTTTTTTTAAAATATATATGGGTTAAAAAAACAAAAAACAGTTGCCCACTGAGTTTGTCCCCTGATTGGCGAAAGGCCTCATGGGTTGTGTTTTGAGATCATTGGTTCAAGTCCCAACTTTGACATTGTCTTTAATAATTCTCGTCTTCCTCCACATTTAAAAGAAAAGACAAAAATTGGTTAAAATAAATAAATAAATAAAATAGATTTTATAAAATGTAAATAAATGCATTATATTTTAAGTTTAGCTGAAGTATTATTTAGCATGTCACAACTGATCTTTTTTTTTAATTTCACGTTGGCAGCAGATAACTTCTTCTTTCGGCTTTTCCCTCTTCAGCGAGTCATCTTCCGCCATCTCACTCTGTCCTCTGCATCCTCTGTCCTCACTCCAACTACCTTCATGTCCTCTCTAACTTCATCCATACATCTCCTCTTTGTCTTTTTCCTGGCAGCTGCATTTCTAATATCCTTCTACCAATATACCCACTGTCCCTCCTCTGGACATGTCCAAACCATCTCAGTCTGGTCTCTAACTTTATCTCCCAGTTGTTCAACCTGTGCTGTACCTCTGATGAGCTCATTCTTAATCTTATCCATCTTTGTCACTCGTAAGAAGAACCTCAACATCTTCATTGCTGCCACTTCCAGTTCTGTCTCCTGTCTTTTTTGTCCATGTCTCTGTCTCCAGACCATACAACATAGCTGGTCTCACCACTGTCTAGTAAACTTTTCCTTTGACCTTTGCTGACACTCTTTTGTCACAAATACTCCTGAAACTTTTCTCCATCCACTCCATCCTGCCTGGACTCTGTTTCATCTCTTTACCACATTCCCCATTTTCCTGGACAGTGGACCCCAAGTACTTGAAGTCCTGCACCTTTGTGACCTCTGCTCCTTGTAGCCTCACTGTTCCACCAGCCTCCCTCTCATTCACACACATGTACTCTGTCTTACTACGGCTGACGTTCATTCCCCTTCTTTCAAGTGCACACCTCCACCTCTCCAAGTTCTCTTCCACCTGTTCCCTGTTCTCACTACAGATCACAATGTCATCTGCAAACATCACAGTCCATGGGGAATCCTGGAACAGAATCTGTCAGCAACAGATAACAAAATTGGATAAGTCTACGTTGTGGTATTATTTCACTAAGGATTGAACGCTAAATGAAGATCAGTATTAATTTCTTCAATTGCTTTGGTATCGACATGAAACAAATTATGTTTAAAATGTTTATTTTTTGCCAATAGAGTAATTTCCAGAGACAATATTTTTGGTCCATTTCTGCCTGAGCATCTGAAAATTGCAACAGCTGCCTTGTTCCTTATTTAGCTTAATTCATTTTCACTATGTGTGTAGTAGTTGTAGCAGGAAGCATTTATCCATACAGATGGGTGAATATGTCATTGCTCAGCTTAAGATGCTGTCCTCATTCATTTGTGGATAAAACTTTATTTAAAGTGTGCTTATTTAATAAAATTCAGCACATCCTGGGAGGGATTAGATAATTAGGGGTTATGCAGATTTTTGGCTGTTTAATACAAAACTCCACATTTTTTTCACTTCAATACACATCACAAGTACTTGTTCAAAAATAGGAAATCCAGTTTTCTTTTGTGTGCCTTCTTGGTGCTGGCGTCAAACTAAAATACATTAATTTGTTTTTAAATATAAATTAGTCATCGTATTAAAACAACAAAAAAAATCTGGTAGAAGTGTTTTTAAGCCTTTGCATTTTGTGTAATCCGTGTATAAACACCCCAACTTTTTGGGAAATTGCAGTGAAGTCTCGACATGTTATTATTTATTTTACTCAGTATTCACTGGCATTTTATTTAATCTTCGGTTTCCTTCTTTATGTAGAAATTTCATTTCTCAACTCTGTGGAAGTTGGCTAAAACTCAAGCACCGTCAAGGTTTTCTCCTTTAAGCAGCAAGGTCATAAAATTTTATGGGTGGCCAATAAACCATGATGCTTTACCAGAAGAAGCACCCCCCCAACTCCCCCACAGAAAATCTCTTTAGTACAAATTAGGCTGCATACTGTTATTCTGGAAGCTTGTTTATAAGCTCGACTGATTACATCAGGCTTTAGATGAACATCCTTGTTGAAACCAGACAGTCTGGGAATTTTCATGGCATGCTCTTCACACTTTCCGAAATATGGGTGATGTGGTAGTTGAAGCTTTCTCTCATGCTTTTAGGAGTCGACAGGCTTGATACGGACAGGGTTTCTGCTATTTTGATGCACCCACGAGGGTGGTTTTGTTTATATACTGTGATGTGTGTGTACCCAGCTATCATGTGTATCTGTGTGTGACGGCGTGCATGTGTGGTAATTTGAAAGACAGCTAGAAAGGGAGTGCACAATAAAGCAGGATGGTGGAGTGTGGCAGGACTGGCCTGCCGAGCAGAGTGCAGATAAATCACAGGATAAATATTTAATGCGATCCTCCTGAGGCTGCTGGATGCTGCAGAGACAGCACTGAGTTGTCTTTTTTTGTTTTTTCAGTGTTGCTTATCCTATATGTCTATTTTGAGACAGGTTTTTGAAGTTTTTTTTTTCTTCATGAACTCTAAACGTTTTCTTGTCGTGTTTTATAGAGGTGGTTTTTTTGCTTCAGAAATAGTTTGACATTTATAGGCAGGGGTTTGTTGTTTCTTGGTACGAGTTTTATTGTAAGGGTGATCTGACATGCAAACAGTTTCTATTGCAGCAGGTTAAAAATAATGAAGCCTACTTATTTTATTTATTTATTTCTGTATATATATAAATGTATATATATATATTCTACCTTTTAAGATTTGACACACTTAAGTTATTGTTTATTTTCTTTTTAGAGGCATTTTCTACATTGTCTTTTCGATCACAAATTTATATTCTGCCTGCACAATGCACATTTTTAACAAAAACTAAAAGCACATTTTGTGTAGCTCATTGTCTAAACATGCACTCATGCAATACAATACTCATAATAAATAATAGACATTTGATCAGTCGCTGGCAAACACATTGTTAGGAGCATCCTTCCAATCAGGCCAGATATTGCTCCAGTACGTCTTGTCCTTGGCATTGGGTCACATAATTTATAGCGGATGGCCACAGAGAGACAGGAGGAGACGGCAGAACGGGATAAAAGTTGTCATATGCTGGCCAATTTAAAGTGAAATAATGTGTGACTGTGGTCAAGACGCCTTGACCTGCTGTGGTTTAGGGACGGATCTGTGTTGAATGAAAATTTTGAATCTTTGCATAAAAATACAGGTCACGTTACGATCATTATAAGTACTTTTTATACATATACTATACAGTACTATTTTACATTAATGGCTTTATAAATGATCTATCAATGCATTATAAATAGTCATGAGGATATAAAGTATTAAGCATTTATTAAATTGTTAATGCATGCTCAGTATTTGTCAAGATCAACTGTTAATTGGT